AGTACACAACCATTTCTATGAAAAATTAAAAAGATTTCATAACTTATGACCAATTTTAAGATTATTCATCAATTTTAATTCATCAAGTATTGTATAGTTGAACATATTTAAGATTATTCATCAATTTTAATTGCTTTCAATTTTTTTTTTTTTTTTTTTTTTTGGTTATTAATATATCATTTTGCATTTTACAATTTTAGATGGAGAGACAATGAAATGGGATACGAAAATTACATTTAATGTGGGAACAAAGACGACGTAAAATTGCAATTCTAGTCACTACCATTGCCGTGCATTGGTTTATGCGTCGAAAACGTAGAAACTAGATAGATAAACCTATTACACAACCAGAAATTGAAAGGCAAATAACACGGGATAAACTAATGAATGAGTTTAGGGTAAGTGTGAAATGTCGTAACATTACTCATATGGACCAGAAGCTTTTCAAAATTTCTGTGAGCTACTTATGAGAGATGTTAGTCTTTGACCCACAAGACATGCAAGTGTTAAAGAGCAAGTTGCCAAGTTTCTTCACATTATATCACACAATGTGAGGAATCGGACAATGTCATTTTTCTTTTGTCGTTCTGGTAAAACCATAAGTCGTCATTTTCATAGTATGTTAAAAGCAATAATATCCTTGGAAGGACAGTCCCCCCAGAAATACTAAATAATGATAGGTTTCATCCATATTTTAAGGTAAACATGATTATTACTTGTACCCCTCAATACTTCAATTTTTCTTTTCTCACCAACTATTACATATAAATTTTTATATAATAATTTATCTTAGAATTGCATTGGGGCAATTGATGGAACACAAGTTCATGTGAAAGTGTCTAATGAAGATGCACCAAGATATCGTGGTAGGAAGAATTATCCAACAATAAATGTGACGGCCCAAGTTTTTCAACCCGGTGCGTCAGTGATGAATCGAAAGTTAATCCGATAACGGATCCGAAATGCAGAAGCAAATGATAAACCAAGGTCTTAAGAGATAGGAATCACTCCTAAGACACAAATGTGACCTTTCATGAGATCACGGGACTTAAAGAAATAACCAGAAACGGAAACTAGAATAAAAAGGTCAAACGGTGCCCTATGGCACCAGTGACACCCAAGGGAACAAGATATAGTTCAAACTAGATCACATATACTATTAAATGGTCCAAACAAGATGAACGAAGTCGAATGGAAGAAAACCAATTGGTACAAGCCTAAGAAAGACAACCACCAAACAACATCAATAAGGCAGCTCCATTTCGGTCCACCGAAATGGAGCATCGGTCTGCCGAAACAACCTGGAAAAAAAGAAGAGAAAAGAACTCTCAGTTCGGTCGACCGAAGTGACAAACCGGTCAACTGGTTTAAAGCTCGAGATGAAAAAAATGAGTTTCAGTCAACCGATGTAGAGAACCGGTTGACCGATATAAGCCTCGAAGTGAAAAAGGTTACTGGAATTGGGATTTTTGCTGAACCATGAAAACCAAGAGAGGTTCGGTCGACCGAAACAGGCCACCGGTCGACCGAAACTGGTCAAAAACGTGAAAAATGAACCTGTTATGCATCAAGGCTAAAATGAGTTCCTAAGTCTTATTTGAATTCCACATGGCATGATCAAACTTAATTATATACTATTATATGATAATGTGAACATACACGCAAGTATAAAATGGTATTTTAAATATGCTACAATGGCCCATGGCCTTATTACAATTCATTTACAACAATTGATATGTCAAACCTCCAAGTTAGAAAGATTACATTTCAAAGGCAAACTCAAATATGCTAACACTTCCATGTGAACAAAAATACTTTAAATGAAGCTTCAAATCTACAAATCGCCCAAGGCAAGTGCAAGTCTCCAATCTTGAATCCTGTATCTGAACAAATCCCCAGTAATTTCGAGGTGAGTAAACAAGTTTACTCGTAAAGAGTGAGCATGCATCGACTTGATTTCTTTATAAATTTTTATAACAACATGAAACAATTCAAAAGGGTCATGCCACCTAACGTCTATGTCAAAGGTTAGACTCAGGAAGCATCCTAAGCTACCTTAACTCATTTCTAGCATAAACACATCCTTTATGCAATTTAAACCACATAGGAGCATGCTATACGAAGCAACACAATATAGATTCTCAAGGTCATCAACTTGAAATCTAAAATGCAAAAATGACAAAAGTGGGTCATGCCACCTAACGTCTATGTTCCAAATGAATCTATAGGTTCATTCCTAAGTTACATTTGAATAACAAAACACAAATCACAATATCTATGCAATTTAACCAACATAGAAGCATGCTATACAAAACAACAAGATATAGATTCTCAAAATTATCAACTTGAAATCTAAAATGCAATAACAACTAAATATATCAATTTAGTACAATTAGAATTTCTAAAACCACACATCAATACATAGATTCTCTAAGTTATCAACTTGAAATCTAAAAGTGTGAAAACAACTAAATATAACAATTAGTATAGATGTACTTAACAACATCAAATCGCCAATAGCCAAAACCACAAGTTACAATTAAACATGATTGTCAGCTTGGAATTGAATGCGAAATCAAATAGTGGAAGACTTGGACATCATGCTCGAAATTCTGCCGAAACCTCAATGGTTATTCCGGGCATTAACTCGCTAGGAAAACCACCCTAGTGCGCACTATCTCAATTGGGGAGAACTCATACCTCCTGCACTAAAGCCAAACTCTAGCCATGTCACTTGTAACAACAATGTCCCAAGACTCCAAAATAATCCAAATAAGTTCACAACTTATACATAATTTATATAATGCATGAAAACACTTTCCATGCGCAAGTAGGTTGGAACCACACAATTCATGCCTTAGAGTTTCAATTCTAAAATGACATACATAATGTCAATTACAAAGTGTGCAAATCATTACACAAGGCAATAATATATTCCATAAAGAAAACATGTTCTCATGAATATAAATTTTACAACAATGTACTCAATGTTTAAAACATAACCAAGTGACTACACAATAAGTCCAAATCCATGATTTAAATATAGAAACAACTTCTACAACATAATTGAAATCCATGGAGTAATGAGATAGAATTTAATTAAATCATAATAATTAAATCTCTATTTTTCCAAATCAACTCTAAATGATCCCAAATCAATATATGCTAGTACACAAGTCCTAGTCATCACAAATATCAAGTTAAAACACAAGTAAGCCAATGGAGCCTTTGAAATAGATTTTAATTAATACTTTTAATCAAAATCTCTAGATTTTCATACTCATCCAAATGCTCTCAAATTAAAATGATGATGAACATGTCAAGACTTAATTTAAAAGCATATCACAACTTAATTTCATGCAAGGTACGATCATGATAATTAATCTTTCACAAAAGAAAAATATTAAATAAAAATTGCAATTCTATTCCAAATAATCCAAATTTCATATATGTTAACTAACACATCAAAACTTAATTTCCTAGCATGCCACAATTTAATTCTAAGTTGAATACCATCATGAGAATTAAATCTTAACCATAGAAAATAATTAAATTAAATTTTAGATTCTTAACAAAAGCATGCATACAAGTTGTATAAGTATCAAAAACATGCAAGACAACAAAATATGAAATTATAACACCCCCTACCTCCATTTGAGATGAAATCTCAAATCCCCACTAAAACGAAACTGCTCTGAATCCGACGAAACTTCTAGGTTTTGTCGGGAACAACACGATGAACATAACCCCCAAGGAAGCCCCATCAAAATCACAACTTGACCTCAAACTCGAACTCAAGAAATGACCAAAAACGGATTCTAATAAGGGGGAAAGGTAGAGCACGGCAAGGCGAACATAAAACGCTAAGGCACTACACCTTTTTACTAAAGGGAAATGGCCGGAAAAGAAGAGAGAAGGGTGGTAGCCCCTTGGCTGCCATGGCTACCGACCAAGAGAGAGGAGAGAGAGAGAGAAAAAGATTTTTCTTCTTAAGACCTCCTATTTATAGAAAAACCCTAAAAGTGTCCCGAACGGGCCCCACCGAGTCCGGAAAAGTGAAATTTGAGTAGACGTGCTCAAACGACAAAACACCGTGAACAAAAAAGAACTGAAATGAGAAAAGATGGACAACGGAAGAAACTGCGTCAAAAACTGAGTCTCGAGCAAAAAGATATGCCCCAACCGGGGCCAGAAACCCTGAAACTAGAGAAAAACCACCAGAAGGAAATTCCATGAGTACACGACTCGACGAAAAGTGAAAATGAATCCCGTACGATGATCTAGACTCAAAATAAGGCATTTAGCAATAACTTTCATTAATTGCACAATGGCCCCTATAAAAAGTGAAAAGTGCGAAACTGCCCCAGAATGAAAATATCTTCCAAAAGATATTTTCTTAGATACCCCTGAAATAAAATATCTTCAAAAGATATTTACGAAAAATACCACAAGAAAAGAAAAGATTCTGAAAAATTATGCATCCATGCCCCTATGGACACCGAGAGCAACCAGAGTACATTCTTACAAAAGTAAAGATACGTATTTCGTGAAAACCACTTAGAATGAAGATACATGAAGTCAAAAACCAACTCCGAACATAAGAAGTAAGGTTATGCCAATAAAGTGACAAACGGGGAAAAGACAAAATAGGGAAAATGACGAAATAGGGAAAATGACGAAAAGTGAATAGTGTCAAAAAACGAAAAATGTGGAAATGACTCGGTCCTCAAAAGAAATTGTCAATCCAAAGAAAAGAGTCTCGGAAATCATTCCAGAGCACTCAAGACGACACTAAGCGACGAGAAACTGAACTCAGAAAGGAAAAGACCAACGGAAAAAATAAATAAATAAATAAATAAATATTCGTAAAAATCTGAGCAAAGGAAAAGAAGAAAAAAGACCGGGTCATTACAATAAATGTGTTAGCTGCTTATTCATTTGACATGAAGTTTAACTATGTCTTACCTGGATGGGAGGGTACCACTTCAGACTCAAGAGTTATGGCTAGTGCATTAGAAAGAAATGGAGATAAACTAAAACTTCCTCAAGGTAAATTTTATTAATATTAACTAATAAATTATTAATATGAAGCCAATTTTAATTATTATTGTTCTTGATAGGGAAATATTATCTTGTTGATGCGGGATACCCATTAAAGGCTGGACTTATCACGCCTTATAGAGGTGTGCGCTACCATTTAAAAGAATGGTCCTCACATCGACCGGAGAATCCTCGAGAGTTATTCAACCTTCGACATGCATCACTACGCAATTTTATTGAGAGAATTTTTGGTGTCTTGAAGAAACGATTTCCTATCATAGGAAGCAGTACTGAACCAACATATGATGTTAATACTCAAGTTGATATTATTTTAGCATGTTGCATCATACACAACTATTTAATGGGCATGGATCCTGATGAAAGCCTTATTAATGAAGTAGACCGGGAGCTGTTGAATGAAACTCAAAATGAAGAGGCTGGTCCAGTTGAGGGAAGTGAAGATCATAGTTTAGGGGAATACTTGAGAGATTCAATAGCTTCCCATATGTGGCATAACTATGTAGCTAATCAAATGTGATATTTCATATGTTTATTTGCTTGAAAAAACTTAATGTCTTTTTATGTTAGAGTGCTTGTTTTGATTTGGAGATGTAGAATGCTAATAATTTGTTATAAACTTCTACTTTGCATGCATTTTTTTTTTTTATCTATTTTCAATTTTCATTTTATTTTTTTGTCTCTTTCTTTGTATTATACTTGTTATTATGTAGACATAAGAATGAGTAAAGAATCAACCATAAATGGTGTGTCGAAGAGGGACAGATTGGATTGGAATGCACAAATGGATGATATATTTGTGGATGCATTACATAATCAATATCTCAAGGGAAATATGCTTGATGGGACATTCACAACAAGAGCTTATCATGAAATTGTTGAAGAATTGAAACAAAAACTCAAAATTGATATCAACAAAGCTAAAGTGAAGAATCGATTGAAAACAACCAAGACTCATTTTAACGAGTGTTTTGACTTGTTCAAAAATGGTTTGAGTGGATTTGCTTGGAGTCAAGAAACAAAAATGTGGAGCGCTGAACCTGAAGTTTGGGCTGATTTGATTGCGGTTGGTTTTCTAAGTATGATTATTATTATTATTATTTTACTATTAAGAGATGCATTATTTATTTATTTATTTTTTTCATTTTGAAATAATGATAATATATATTTTTTTCTCTTTTATGTTTTGGCAACAGGCAAAACCAGCTGCCGAGAAATGGAAGACTGCTACGATTTTCAATTATGATAAGTTGTTGGATTTATTTGGCAAGGATAGGGCAAGGGGGTTTAATGCCCTAACTGCTAAGAGGAGGATGGAAAAATGGGCAGCAAATGATAGGGAGAAGAATAATGAATCAGCAGCAAGTGCTAATGAGAGGAGCAATGAATGGGTGCCAACTCATAATGATGATCCTATGGATAACATTTATGGTATTGATCACTTGGTATCACGGAATGAAGCAAGTTTGGATAATACTGGTGTTTTTTGATCCTAAGTTTGAAGATATGAATATAATGTCTCCTGAAACACCTTCAAGTGTACCTTCCCATTCCACTTCTTCTTCAAAAGGAAAAAGAAAAAGGAAATCTTTGACTGCTGATGAAGATAACCTAATGATTGGAGTAGTGAAAGGTGTTGTTGAATCTCTTAAAGAGAGAAATGAACTTCTTAAAGAGGGAAATGATCTTCAGAAAACATTCAACAATCTTTATGAGAAGTGTAACCAAAAGGGAAAATATGAAGAGGATGTCTTTAAGGAGTTGGCAGCAATTGGAATAGAGGAGCATGCAATTGTTAAGGCTTTCATTTTTTTGACTGACCATGACCATCCTGCTAGAATGACACAATTTCTTGGTTGTCCATTTAATCATCGCAAGCAACTCTTGGAGGAATTCATGTCCGCTGATTCTAGACGTTGACTATGGTTTTAGTTATACTATCTTTTGGGGATGTCTTTTGATGGAACTTTCTACTATTTCTTTGTTTCGTTATATTATGTTTCTCTTTCGCTATGAAACTTTTGGCATATTAACTTTGAGACCGTATGTTTGTTTTATTTTAATGAGACATTATAACGCGTTATTTATTTTGGAATGCTTGATATAGGTTATTTTATTTTTTTTGTCTGCTTGTTATCTATTATGGAAAGCTTGATATGGGTTACTTTATTTTTTTTTTCACTACTGGTATCTCTGTTATGTGGTGGAAGCATTTTGTGAGTTCCATTCTAGTGGCTATATGGCTATGTTCCTTCTATTGCTATGTTGTTTGATGGGAAAAATGATAAGATTCTTGTAGTTCCAAGTAAAAATAATACTTCTAATTCTATTTATTTTGTACCAGTAGATGATGTATAAATATCTTCTTCTGTTACTTCTTTTCCTGTTTTGCATACTGATGACAATATGTGGATATTATCTAAGAGCAAGAGACTTTGTCTTCCGTCCTATGCTAAGGGGATGTTTTAGTTGTTATTATCATTTATCTGAGAAATTTCATTCTTTGAATTTAGCAGGGTCAACACTATTTTGTATACATTAGTAACAGATTGCTTTTAAAGTATATGGGACATACAGGAAAGACAATTTACCATCCAAACCATGCATTAGTGCACACATGATCTCAGACCTCTAGGTTGGTTGATACCGAGTGAGACATTTCCAGTGGAGACGAGAATAGCAAGGTTTGCATTTGTTGTGAGCACTAACATGTTGTTCAGTTTCCTCATTGCTCAGGCATTCTTGTCAATGTTGCACCCGTTTGTTTTATTGGAAATGGAAAGAAAATTCAAGAATGCATATTGAAGTGTCCAACCAACATTTGACATTCAAAATATATGACGATTTTTCAATAAATACATTCCATTAGGGGTCATAGATTCCAGTGTTCGATCCATTGAGGAAACTATATAAAGTCATACAACATAACAAATTAACATGTCTCACAGTTCATAACTTGGCAATCCCATGATGTGTTTACACATCACAGCCTTATCAAAATCAGGATCATAGACCTGATCACTGCACACACAACAATAAAGCTCAGCCCTTTCCATGTCCACAGCAATCTCATGACCATTATGAGATTGGGTGTGCAAATGGGCATGATTAGAATCAGAATCAGAATCAGAATCAGGAGGAGGAGAGGAACAACACGACACTGATGAACAGATCAAACACATACAGAGTCTGCCTTGATACCCAGAACATAAACTGCATCTGGGTATCTCTGATTTGGTTATGTCAACGGTTGTTCTACCATTTGGGGCTGTTTTGAGCCACTTTTGGATCAAATTATAGCCACTAAGCCCATGTTTCAGCTTCAAATCTACAAGGTGCTTTCAAGGCTTCGGGGTTATGTAGGAGGAGGACATGTTGATAGAGATTGAAAGAGGTTTTATTATATTTATGGCAAGTATATCAAACAAATATGAAAAAATCTTAATAATACGTGCTACTAATTAGTAACGAAAAAAATAAATCAATCAATCAATAATAACAAAAAAGAATGAAAAAATGACAATATTATTATTATGGAGAGTCGAATTGAATTAGATTGATTTGAGGTTGGATTGAAGGTTGAGATGGGTTTGGATTTATTTGGTGGATTTATTTATTTTAATATAATCCACCAAAGAAACACATTTAATTGCATGATATGTAGCATTTAATTTTAATGACCTGTAAGGGTAGGATAATGATTTGGTTACTATCATTTATTTTCTTTTCTCTCTTCCATCTTATCCAAACAAGAATAATTATTCTTTCTTTTCTTTTCTCTCCTATTTATCCAAACACGAATAGAAATTATCCAAACACAAATAGAAATTATTACTATCATTTCATTTCTTTTCTTTTCTCTCCTAACTAATACTATCCTTTCTTTTCTTTTCTCCCTTATTTATCCAAACACACCCTTAAATAAACTCATGTCTTAAATCTGATGTTTAAAAAAAAGTACTCTAAGAAAATTTATTTGATTTGAACCTTTAGCTCCTAAATTAGACCTTTATGCAAACTAGAACCCAAGACACAGAAACACATATTTAAAAGGTGATTTTGTTTATTTACTGTTATAAAGATCCTGAGTTGGAAGTTTTGTTTTAAAAGTTTATTGAAACCCAAAACCAAATTTTGAAGGATCTAGGGCTTACTAGTTTCGAAAGAAGTTTAGGAACTTAAATAATAAATTTTCTATTATGAAGAAAAAGTGTAAAGAAAGTTCATACTTTAGAAAAAAAATGTTTTTTTAAGTACGTGCTTACGAGACTACAAATTACGAAACCATAAAACTTTATTCATATGTATAAATATAGATATAATTTCCTTGAGACAGTAAGTTTGGAATTGTTTCGATATCACAAGTTTGTGAAATAAATTATTTTTGAGGATTTAAGAAGCCCCAATTTACCAAGACCATATATATAAGTCATTTAATGAATTAAGAACTCCTTGAACCTTATGTGCCTAAATAAACTACAGAGGAATAAATTTGTGTTTTAAGAGAAGTTTTGAAAACATGACCCTCCAGTTACTTAAGAGATCTCTAGTATGAAACCTTTTAACAAAATAAGGGTTTACTGGCACTTAAAGAAGTTGCTTTGAATGATAAAATAAATAAAATAAAGACAAAATAAAGAATGTCTAAGAAATGTATTTTCTTAGGAGATGGCAGGTCTGCGCATTTCATAATGATGATACACGTAACTTCCTTATTACAATTTTACAAAGAGAAACGGAAAGCAATCCAAACTTCACAATCATATATGAGTGGGCTTAATAAACCATTCTATAGTTAGTTGCCAAAAAAAATATGATCAATAATATATATATATATATATATGTAAAACACAGCATAACCCAGACTTGTGAATCTATAACCAGGTCTCACAGGAAAGGAGTAAATAAGGTTTTGTGCCCTTGAGAGTATCACCAAGTTCTAATGACCCTGCAACAGCCCTCATGCTTTGGAATTATGGCTTACATGACAACTAGGGTGTCATGAAATAATTGTATCTGTGGAGTTCAAAAATCAAATACTTGAAGAAAGAAAAGAAATAAAATAAATAAATAAATAAATAGATGCTGAGACGATGAATAAAGCAAACTACAACTGTCATGACAACTAAGGTGTCATGTAGCTATTGTAGAGATTCTATATAAAAGAATGATCAATATGACAACGAAGATGTCAGACGGCCACAATATTTACAAAGTAAATAAATATGCGCATAACTAAAAGCAATATATGCAATGGAACTAGGATCTAAATAAATGAAGCAATCTTTAAAAATAGAAAGAAAAATACTTCTACATTGTCTTATTTTTAAACACACTTTTTTTTTTTTTTTTACAGAACCTTCACTATTGAGTGGTTGCCGGCATATGATGGAAGTAGAAGTTTGGTGATGGCTGAAGAGGGGTGTGAATAGTATTAACAAAATGCTTATCGCTTTCGGGTCCCTCCCTCCTTTTGCCAATCTTGTATTTATAAGCCGACTCGCTCTGGCAGACAAGCAA